GTATACATATAGATATTGACATTCATAAGTTTAAAAGAATAGATAAATGAACATAAATATGGAGTACTCATGCGTTAGATTTAACAATTTACCTGATGAAATTCTTATGATTATTTTTAAAAAAATGAACAATGTTGAAGTACTTTATTCTTTACACAGTGTTAATCAACGATTAAATAAACTTGTTCAAGATTCTATTTTTACAAGTCGTTTGACCTTTGTCAAAAGATGCTCAGATAATTTGGTCGATGTATTTCCTTGTAACATGATGCTTAATCGATTTTGTTTACAAATTTTACCTGAAGTTCATGATAAAATCAAATGGCTTGATCTTGAATCATCATCTATGAAGAATGTTTTATGTGCTACTGATTATCCTAATTTATATGGTCTCGGTCTTTATAATATTAATGAAGAGTCAGCTCGATGTCTTTTTACTGGTAAGAAATTTCTATTGAATTATTTTTATCCTAAATAAATGAAAGATTTCTCAAACTTATTGCTACTAATGATTAGATCATTGAATGAATATACTTAAGGTTATCCAAAAGTAGTGGCAGAGGTACTTTTTCTTATAAAAAGTTTGAAAAAGTGTTCTTTTTCTTACAAACCGATAGAGCGTCTTTCGCTCTGTTTTTCTAAGCTATTTGATCACTATTCAACTAATATCGTAATAATAATATTTCGATAAGAACTGTTTTTATTGAAAACTAGCTAGCAGCGTTAGGTCATAACGGATGAAGCATTTTTGAATTTCACTTTATGATGACTTGATGCGTTGTATTAAAAAACCAAAATATACAAGCACAAGATACATCGTGAAAAGCTCTACAATTTACAAAGAACAATTATAAAAAGATGAAATAGGAAGAAACGAAGTCGTCTTTTACCAAAAAAATCTCGTTTTCGCAGCGTCGAAATGCGCACACTCAGAATCGCATGTTCATTTTGAAAACAGACAAGTATAAGTATAAAATAAGCAATCGTTTGTAAATCTTTCACGCTGCATCTTGTGCTTGTATATTTTGGTTTTTTTAATACAACGCATTAAGTCATCAAAGTGAAATGTAAAAGTGCCCCATTTCTTTATGTTACATTCATTATGATCAAGTATGCTACCAGCTAGTTTTCAACAGAAACAGTTATCGAAATTTTATTATTATGATCTTAGTTGAATATCAATCAAATAGGAGAGAAAAACAGTACCTCCGTCACTACTTTTGGATAACCCTTAACTATTAATATTATTTCCATAATTTGTTTTTGTATTAATATTGTGCGCATGTTTAGATGAAACTCTTTCATCTGGTATATTTAAAAATCAGATTAGAACACTTTTTATTACAATTGATAATGATGACGATGATAGTTATGAAGATATGGTATTGTCGGCGACAAGCATAGTTAATTACATTTTGAATGTTTTCCCCGGTCTAATTTATTTGAAATTCAATGAATCATTGTATAAAAATTGTGCTCGATTATTGCTTGATGATGAATTTCTTCCTACTTTTCGTTCTTCAACTCTTTTAAAATTGAATATCAGAGTACAATGTTTCGATGATTGTCTTTATCTTCTCGATGGTCGATTTAATCAGCTTCATACACTCTGTGTTGATTTGGTTCATATTAATCGTCCGCATGAAATTAAAAATCAAGTTAGTTTTATAAGAAAAATCTTTATACTGTTAAATAACAAAAGAAACGTTATTTTTAGGGTGATTTACCAAATCTAAAGTGTTTTTCTCTGTCCTGTAATTTAGCAATAAGTTTTTACGATGAATTGATCCTACCACTTCTATATCGAATGTCAAATTTAGAACAACTCGGTTTGTATATTGCAACTATTAATACAACATTTATTGATGGAAATCATTTAAAGAGAGATATTATTAATCGTATGGCACGATTAAATCAATTTACATTTTATATTGCTTCATTTATGTTTATTTGTAATCCATTGGATTTTCCATCTGCAGAAGATATTCAACGCACATTTATTGACTTTCCAAAAAATAATATTATTTCTTATGTTGACTATTTTCCAGAAGCAAAACAAAGCCAATGTCGTATTTACTCTTATCCATCTTTTATCCCATATTACGACAATATTACAAATAATTTTCCAGGTGGATTATTCCAATATGTTCGCGTGATATCGTTGTATGATGAATATCCTTTTGAACATGAATTTTTTATTCGAATTCAAAAATCGTTTCCATTTATAGAAGAATTAACCGTGATTAATTATAAATCACAAAATGAAAAACAATCTTATGAATCAAACAATGGCAGTCAAAATTTATCACTTGTTGAATATTCTTTTCTTAATGAACTTGCTATTGTCAGGGTTCATGATCATTATATAGAACAATTTCTATTTAATACTAAAACATATCTACACAATAATGTTCTTCTTCATATCGATTATGAATCTTTACAACGAGTAACACACAATTTCACAAGAGAAAATACGCAAATTAATTGTGCCAAAATAAATGAACTAAAATTATACGGTGAAACATGTCCAAATTCTTCTTTACAAGAATATTTTCCTAATGCAAAAATATGTTTTTCCAGGTCGATTTTGAAAGACAAAAAATAAAGTACTTTAACTAAAGACGAATAAAATAAAATCAGAGAAAACTATCTTGTCTATTGTTGTAAGAAAACGAAATCTATATAGAGATGAAAATGATCATGTATCACAAGTAACAATATTTGAAATAGGTTAATTTTCTTGAAACATGTGTATAATATATTGAGTTGGAACATGAGTTCTGGATATTTTTTTGTTCCGCCATGTACTGTCAACCTTTAGACAAGCAAAGTTTATTTTTGGAGATAATATGATAACATGTACTTGAATTCTATGATTTTTCATTGCTGGACCGGTATTTTAGCCAAAATTAGATTATTTTCCTCTTCAGTTTTGTTAAGAAATTATTAGATTACAGTTTGTCTTGATTTAGAACAGTTTAATTTCGCATCTCGTTCAAGCAAAAAGAGAATGATTGAAAGAACAAGATTCCTAACTCTATATTTAAAGTCTAATAAATCATCGATTTGACTAGTTGGATAGTCTCAATCTATGACAAGAACTTGTTTAAATTAGGGTACAACTATATCCAATTAGATAAGTAATGAATCATTACTAATGATTCATTGCATTGAAGGCTGATAATTCGACTGGTTTTACATTTTCTGTCTTACTATAATTTGGTAAGCAGATCAAGGTGCGATGTCATATTAAATACTCATAATCGGCATATAAAAAAAGATGATTTATTTTTTTTATAGTGAAATTTGGATTCTAAACATTAGAAAATGTTAAATATATTTAAAAATAAGAAAAATACAGATATTTTTGTCAAATATTTGTTTCGTATAGTGAGATTCATTTGGATCCCGCTTGGTTGTCCAAGGTTAACTATTTAAAACAATATACAAAAACGAAAGAATTGTGTTTCTAGTATGATTTATGTATGGATAATTGTTTCATGAGACAACTAATTTGATTAGATTAGAAGAATTGCCTTGTCGGCTTGTGTTAACTACTGTTTTGCAGTTTCGTTTCGTTTTACACAAGGATCTATCTTAATCAATTCCACAGATAATGAGTATCACTGCATTTTGAACTTAAACATAAAAGTAAAGAGACATTAATTCTATTTTATCTTCATCACTTAACCTATCAGCGTGGATGATGAGAAGCTTCATTATTGAAAATAATAGATACGACCCTAAAAGATAAGAGATGCTTTGCAGTACAAGCACATCTAATACACGAGAATGATGAAAGTTTTTAGTAGCAGAGATTTGGTCTCGTAATGGAACTATATTTCCTATATTTTTCGCAAAAAAGTCACATATTCGTGGATCTGAATATCAAGAAAGCAACAATAAGATGTTCAATGGAAGAAAATATAAAATATGTTTTGTCTAAATGAAGGTTGTAAGCAATTGCTGTAAGAAAAAGATAAGACATTAATGAAATCAATGCACTTTAATGTGAACTTCATGAAGGCGACTAGATAATCACCAATGATAGTGAACGTTTACAAGAACTCGCAACCAAGAAATAGTCTTGATATAGATAAAGCTATAAGATTACGATGATAATAATACTGAAAGTTAAACGATCTGGAACAGATGTTGAAAGTACAAAACAATTGATTAAAATTAGAAGTGAATACAAAATTGATTTTGGCAAAGAAGAATAGAAGCGATGAAAACTACAACTGATTCAGCGATTACTTATAATTAAAATAGATTTATACTTGTGTATATTTCAAATTATACTTTTAGGTATGAGAGATGTTTTAATAGTATTGAAAAGTAGTATAGTTTATATTATATAAACCAAGAAATAAATTTATTGTGGTCTCTATTGCATTTAATTCCGCTTATAATTCTATAGGTCCGTATTTGTAGAGTAGTTAGAGATTCTTCATAAAAATATCTATGAAGAGGAACGAGGAGAGAATCAGCCAAAATTGGATACAGAGATAGGAATGTTAAATACAGGGACGTCTGGATACTTGCTTCGAACTTTTAGAATGAATTTTCTATCGTGCGTCTAAGAATAAAGTAAATTTTGATAAAGTTGAATTATCATTGTCATATTTTAGCTTGACGTTCAGGAATAACATTTCGAAATTATTTCTACATATAAGACATAAAAACATTTACATATTTTCTCAAACATTCATTTTCATTTCATCATAGACTTTTCTATCTTGCAAAAACGTTCATACGAATAATTAATTTTTATTCAAATCAAATGAAATCTATTCATCTCAATTATCAACAAAACAAAGGAAAATAGCATTCAGTATAGTCAATAACACGATATCAAAAATTTGAATTTAAAATATATAATATTTTAGTCCTAAAGAGGACTGTTGGGTTTTGCTTATTACTCAAAGAGAAGAGATTTGTTGAGTTGTTTGGTTAACTAAAATGTTTTCAGAGCGATGTTATTAATCTCATTTGATCTTTTATGGAAAGTTCCGTACATCGTCCAATATTGAAAGATATAGAGGGTCATTTTGTAGAGATTGCCGATTCGAAGAATGTATGAGAGTATGATGTGGTAGTGGCCCCATGTCAACAGTACCGTCCATCATAGGTAAAAGGCCCATATATTGTTGTTGATGATTAGGTGATGGAGCAAGTAATGGGTCCATATTTTGCATTTTAGTACAATGTGGAGGTGGCAAATGATGAAGATGTTGTTGCATTGTATTGGATGATAGTGGTGGAAATAGTAAACGATTTGATGCATATGATAGACCACCAGGATTTGAAAGAATCATTCCATTTGGATTTATAGAATCTGATGGATCTAATATCTGATGATGAGAATTTATATTCTAAACAAAAAGAAAAAGTTTAATATTTTTTTTACAAAAGAGAATATACTTGTATTTTCATATGTGGTGATGAATTCATAATATCCATTGATGTTGAGATATGTCCTGTATTCGGATTTAAGATTTGCATCGATACTTGATCAATTGATGAATTATATGATATTCCATTGTCTGATTCCCATGTTCGATTTAAATGTATTTCTTCGTTATTCATATCTGAAGAAAAAAACATGAAAATAATGATAAAAGTTTTTAAAATAATTATACCAAATCTATCAAATTCATCATAGTACATTTGTATTGATGATGTTTTTAATTGTACTTCATCTACATTTTCATGCAACTTTTGATTAATTGATGTTGCAGGAATTGAAGATGTTAATGAGGATGATGATAATGATAGTAAAAAACGTATTTATTTGATCAACGACACCAATCAACATTTTTTCGAATTTCCCTTGATTTTTAAAACTATAAAAAAAAAATATTCTATTCTTCTACAAGAAAGACATCTTACTGATAGCATCCGTTGACCTTTTGAACGTGATCGTTGATAAAGCATGATACTTCTTCGGTATATTCTAATTGATTATTCTAAAATTCTAAAATTATTTCTCTTTATTTTATATCGTATAAAAATACCTTTTCTATTTTGAAAACAAAAAATAATTTATCTATTCTTTTTTTCATGGTTGTTTCTATGTTTACATTCTTGTAAACATAACGAATCATATACGATTGATTCGTACCAAATGCTAACGCCAATGAATAACGTTTTACCTTCAAGAAATAAAAGTATAATAAAACTGTTTTGTATTTTTTTCATACTCTGTTTTATTGATAGTGGAAATTCATTGTTTCCAATACCAATTGGAAATGATTGAATATACATGCAAGTATTTCTTTTTCTTCTCTTTTTTTTTTGAACTCATCGAAATCTAAAATAAAAAGCAGTATTTTCAATAAATTTAATTGTATGATTCAACAGCTAATAATAATTCATTATTTGAATAGTATAACTAAATAGCCTAGTTTTTCTCCATCGAAAAAGTACATCAATTTGAACACCCGTGTTTACGTAAAATGCTTTCTTTCTTTGTCGACTAAAACGTATAGATAATACGAATAACGAACGAACTAATAATAACGAACTTGTAAAGAATACTAAAAAATAGAAAATAAACAAACGAATTTATATCAGATATCGCTAGTTAACATCAAATAGACACAACATATTTTCTATCGATATAGAGTAGGTAGGGGTAAATGTAAAATGAAAAATAGTGTGCCTTAGAATAATGATATAACTTTTTATTTCACATTAAAAACAACGTTTTGGTCACAAGACACCCAGCTAAGATGGCACTCTATCCATAGGTGCAAAAATCAACTGAAAAATCCTGTACATAGATCTATCTGTAGGGCATTCTTTGATCCCCATTTTTCATCTTTACATTCACCCTAACGGAGGCGAATGTATAATCATGCTTACATCACTGGGGTAAATGTATAATCGCTGCTATTTTTTATATGTTCTGTAAAACACAATTTTTGAGAGATTGATAGCTACTTCATTTGTTTGTGATTCTTTTCACCAATCGATAGCTTAAACTCTTCTCTATCGCTCTAAACGAATCTTAAGTTTTTAAGTCAATATGATACTATTTTTTTAGAAAGTTCACAAAAAAGCTTCAAAAACAAATTTCGTAAAATGTCGTACATATTCACTCCATATGGGGTTATTGTATAATCATGCTAGTGTCACTGGGATAAATGTATAACCTCAGCAGATTTTGCTGGGCACACGAAAACTCAACCATTATCAGATTCATAAGGAATTATGAGGTGTTCTTTACACAAAAATAGTTCAGAATAATGAGCTTACTAATTTGAAAGCAGTTCAAAAATCAATTTCATGATTTTTAGGTATATTTTGTTTGCTATACGAGAGCGAAAGGTCAAACTACAACATAAAATAACTGTTTTTCAAGGAAATGCTGCCAATACTGCGATTCAATTAATATTTTCTTCTCTTTATAAGAAGTTAACATCTATTTTGTGTATATTTTTGCTTTGAATGAGGAAAAAAAATTTTTTTCTTATTGGTTACAAATATTAATTAATCAACTTAATTATTGATTTTATCTCAATTTTATTAAATAAACTGAATAAAGTTGAAGTATACCACTTGTATATCACTATTATTCGAAAAAGAATCGTAACTACCACTTTCGATATCGTAGAATATATTTAACCTGTTATGTGAGACGATATCAATTTTCCTTGTCTAACGCTAACTAAGTTGCTAAATTCATTTTCGGAGAAGTTTTTAGTACCTAAGAACCTGGTATTATCTTTGTTTTTGTATTTGAAGCATTACAATATCTTGTCTTAACATCAGAAGTTGAAGAAGTTGAAATATTTAAAATATGTTTAGAATATTGGAATATTTTAAGTGCTGAACTTTATCGTGAAGTACCATATCAACAAATAGCACCTTCGTATTTACGAACTGGCAATTCCAATAATGTCCCAACACGGCGTCAATTTTACAGTGTTATACTATCAAAAGTAATCAGCCTTTCTTTTTATTTCTATTGGCAAAGAAGCAAATTTTTGTTTTCTCAAAAATAAAGGTTCGACGAATAATGATTTCACGTATGGCACGACCAGAAGAAGTACTTGTTGTAGAAAACGAACGTGGCGAAGTTGTACGAGAATTTATGAAAGATACAGATGCCATCAATCTCTACAAGAATATGCGTGAAACACTTGGTATAAAAAAAACGTTTTTTGTTGTTGTTATTGGTATTCTGAATATATCTTTTTTTTTCTAGTTTATTTAACTCATTTGGATTATGTTGATACAGAATCAATCATGACAGAAAAATTAGCTAATCAAGTTAATAATACCGAATGGTCATGGAAAAATTTAAATACAGTATGTTTTTGAAATTAGTAGTTGTACTTCTCAGAAGGTTTGATTTAGAATCTTTATCCTTAAGAAAAAGAAGATTTAACTATTGAGAAAATTTTGCTTTTAAATGAATAATGAAACCTGCTGATCGGTAAACTTTTTTGTACTATGTTCCTATTTTCAAAATGATAAAGAAATCTATTCTTAGCCGAAATATGACTGTCAAAAACTCTCGGGAATATAAAAAGAGACATAGTGCCGAGAACTGAATTGTACGGTGAAGTAATTAGACAAGTTGTCTTAAAAATAGTTGTGCGAAATCAGGGTCAAGATCAAGAGAAAAATTTCGTTATCTACATCTCTCCTTTTGAAGTTCATAAGCAATAGGACTGATGAGAAAAAATTCTCAAAAACTATTTTGTAATGAATCGTCGATGTGAGATCTTTTCTATAGACTAAATAAATATAGAATTCTTTATTGCAAATGTTTTTGGATAAATCTTCAAAAATGTAAACAGTAAAAATACAATGACCAGTTATTAGAGATATGAATAACTTATTTGTTTAGCTATGTTGGGCAATTGGTTCGATCTCAGGTGCCATGGTCGAGGATGATGAAAAACGTTTTCTTGTTACCGTTATTAAAGTAAGTTTTTCTTATTTAATTTCTTATTTAAGAACGTTCTTCTCTTCTAGGAACTACTTGGTCTATGCGAACAAAAACGTGGTAAAGATAATAAAGCCATCATTGCTTCAAATATTATGTATGTTGTCGGTCAATATCCACGTTTCCTTCGTGCACATTGGAAATTTCTTAAAACAGTTGTTAACAAACTTTTTGAATTTATGCACGGTAATAGTTCAATTATTTTTAATGTGTTTTTAAGCACGTTGTTTTCGCTTTCGTTTTTAAAGAAACCCATGAAGGTGTACAAGATATGGCTTGTGATACATTTATAAAAATTGCACAAAAGTGTCGTCGTCATTTCGTAACAGTTCAATTGGGTGAATCCCAAGCATTTGTTGATGAAATTTTAACAAATATCAATGGTATTATTTGTCATTTGGAACCACATCAAGTTCATACATTTTATGAAGCCGTTGGGAATATGATAGCTGCTAGTGTTGATAATGTTCAACAAACGAAATTAATCGAAAAATATATGCAACTACCAAATGACGTTTGGAATACAATAATATCTGAAGCAAAAAAATCAGTTGATTGTCTAAAAGATCCAGAAGTTGTGAGTAATATATTAAATATTCTCAAAACAAATATACGCGCTTCGAAAGCATTGGGTGCGCCATATGTTCATCAATTAACAAAAATCTATGAAGATATATTACATATATATAAAGTAACATCGGAAAATATCAATCAAGCTATACGTATGAATGGACCCATGGTTGTTAAACAACGTTTAATAAAATCAATGATTGCTGTTAAAGAGGATACATTAATGTTAATTGGTAGTTTTTTTTCGAAAGCATCAAATATTCAACAGGTTCTTGATCAATTCTTAACACCATTATATACGTTCGTATTAGCCGATTATCGTGATTGTCATCCGGAAGCTCGTGAATCAGAAGTATTAAATATGCTAGCAATATTAATTAATAAAGTTGAAGATCGTATAACACCTCGTATACCAGAAATATTTGATTTAACATTTGAGCATACACTTCATATGATCGATAAGAATTTTGAAGATTATCCTGATCATCGAAAAAATTTTTATATACTTCTTCAATCGGTAACTAATGTTTGCTTTTCAGGTATGTAAGGAAATAGATTAATTTTTTTAGTTCTAAAAAGGTTTTTTGTTTTAGCATTATTGGCATTGAATGCCACACAATTTAAACTTGTTTATGATTCTATTATGTGGGCATTAAAACATACGATGCGTACAATATCAGAATTGGGTTTAGAAATTTTACAAATAATGCTAAGAAAATTTCAAACATGTGATCCACAAGCAGCACAAACTTTTTATCAGATCTATTATCTTGAAACCATGCAACATATTTTTGCTGTTGTTGCCGAATGTTCACATACATCTGGTTCGTATAGATAAATAAGAAATTTGTTTTTTTTTCTCCANAGCACAAACATTTTATCAGATCTATTATCTTGAAACCATGCAACATATTTTTGCTGTTGTTGCCGAATGTTCACATACATCTGGTTCGTATAGATAAATAAGAAATTTGTTTTTTTTTCTCCATAAACATATCAATTTTTCTATGAAAAAAAGAGTCACAGATGTATTACGAGTTCAGGCAACGGATATAATTATAGTTGAATTTTGAATACCTACCTATATTATTCGAACATGAACAATTTTCATATGTTTTGAAGGGACAATTAAATGGCAATGAAGAGTCTCTATCTTAAGAGTGTGTGGTTCATACCCACATCCTCTAGTGAGCGACTAGTCATTTTTTTAATTTTAGTTCGTTTAGCTAGAAAAAAATTTACATTTGTATAAACAAATAATCCTATTATATATTCTTTTAGGTTTAACGGCTCATTCACAAATTTTAGCTAAT